GAGACACGCTGGACAAAACATCACTTGTTGCTTGGGTTCCGACCGTCGGTCCCGTCGAGTGGGTTCCGGCAGATGTTTTCGACATGGTGCGATTCGATGGATTGATCAATGGGTTGAATGGATGGTGCGATCCAATGGATGGATGGAATGGCATGGTCTTAGTAGTATGCTGTGTCGGCAACATCCTGTTCTGGAGGAGAGGAAAGTGACGGATTGGATCAATTTTGTAGATCGTAGATTGTATGATTCGTGTTTTGTCATAGAAGTTCCTCTTKTATGTTGTTTACAATTTGTTGGGACRGTAGTTTTGTTCCTGATTCGTTTTATCGTCGCTTTCGTGCACTTATGGAGAGCAACACACATTTCTGTCTCGCGTTGTTTGTTGTGTTCGCTACTGTATTCGACCATAATTTGTCTTTGGTTCGTGCTTTCTGTGTAAGAATATGTGATGTTATCGTACCACAAACACGAATAGCTATTGGGGTTTTCATCGGAACGAGGAACTGTATCTCAAAGCTACGCGCCTACCGTTCTCCGTACAGTAACCACGAGTACCAGGGTTAGGGTCATACCAGTACTAGTAGTCACAACCAGTACGAGTACAGGGACGTACTCGTACTGATAACGTACAGAATGCTACAGTAACGCAGTACTTCAGTATTTCCGTACATTGCATCACATTAGCATGAGTGCGTCGGGTGTCTCACTGTACTCGTACTCGTACTCGTACTTATGCGCGGTACAGTAACGAGTACGTACTGTTCGTACCGTGAAGTAAGTACCGTACGGTAGCGTACTTAATTGCGCATGATAATTTTTTGGAGGGCATGTGAGGGTTGCAATCGAATGGGATGAAAACGGGACTCGAKACCATCGACATTATTGGTGCTTTTTGTATGTGCTTCTGTTCATCATGGTACTACTTGTCCATTACGTACTCGTATGTATGATGTTGTATGTGTTTGCTTTACGCGTAGTACGTACTCTTCACTCTTCTCACGAGTACGAGTACGTACCCTATGTAAAAAGCGTGGGAGTACGTAGTCGAATTACGTAAGACGTGGGTAAAAGTTTCAAGTACGAGTTAATTCGGAGTAAAATGCGTTAACCGTTAGACGGCTACTAGAACCCACAGAGCTAGAAGTCATTCTACAAAGAATTTCAAATTTATCGCTAAAACACCATCTTCACCATGGTGAGACTGATTGCTTTACAACCAGAGCACCTGTGAACACAAGAAGGGTACCTTTATCAAAACTTTGTCTGCTTAGTAAGGTCRTTGAATGTTGTTTGTGTTGCTTCTAATCTCACTTATCTACTACTACTACTACTGTATTATGATTACTAAATTGGGTAAAAATGCCCAAATTCGTTAGTAATTTTCAGCACTACCCACGGGGACAGCTGTATCTTTATAACCAAGTGTCGGATCTTTATG